ACAGACATATCTTATCCTGTGGCAAATTGTAGGATGCACTTTGAGAGAGAAAGGTAGTCTTATTTTGGGACTGTTACGAGTTTATTTAAATAGTGTTCAGTAAACTTTCTTTTTTTCAAAAGATTACCTAAGAGATAATGACCTTGTTTTCCAAACAGGTCAACTTATGATTTCTGTAATTTTAACAATGATAGTAGAAATGTGAGTCAAGTGGTTTTGATCTTGTTACAGACGTAAATGCTCAGGTGGAAAGAGGGAAATATTTAGAGTGAGAGACTTAGGGTGGAACATGCCAAAAAAAAATCTGGTAAAACTCTTTATTTTTAAAAAATTCTGTTTTTATTTTGGCTGTCCTGGGCCTAGGTTGTGGCACTTGGACTTAGTTGCCCTGAAGGATGTGAGATCTTAGTTCCATAACCAGGGATCGAATCCTTGTCCCCTGCATTGGAAGGCGGATTGTTTGTTATGCATCCTGGACCGCGAAGGAAGTCTCTCTGGTATAACTTTTAAAGAGAGTGTGGCAGTATAGAAGAAAAGGTGTCCGTGATGACACTGAGTCATTGTTTCGACTTGGCGTTGGCCTTTTGGAGACTTTGAGCTGGGAGTCAGAGGGTGTGGATTTGAGTCCCCGGTGTGCCACTCTGGAGTAGTTTGGTAGTTGGAGCCCCACCTGATGTTTTATGTGGAGAAAGGTACCTTGCTGGTTGATCTTCCATGTGCTTCTGACTTGGGCTCTCTTTGATGGCTTTCCATTCCATTGCTCTGACCCTCATGTTTGTTGCTTTTCAGTCGCCAAGTTGTGTCCAACTCTTTGCAACCCTATGAACTGCAGCATGCCAGGATTCCCTAGTCTTCGGTATCTCCCTGAATTTGCTCAAACTCATGTCCATTGAATCAGTGATGCCATCCAACCATCTCATCCTCTGTCTCCCCCTTCTCCTCTTGCAATCAATCTTTCCCAGCATCAGGATCTTTTCCAGTGAAGGCCACCGACTCTTCATATCAGGTGGCCAAAGTATTGGAGCTTCAGCATCAGTCCTTCCAATGATTATAATATCAAAGACAAATTATGTGCTTGGTATCATCACTTTATTGATCCTGGGAATGTTTGGCATTGAACTCACATGGCATATGTTCAGTATGTTCATGAAATAGGGAGGCTGAGAAAACTGACTTTCCTTGAAGGTAGTTATTTTTATCTGGGTAGGTAGCAACCTACTGTACAGTGCACATAGAAGCTGAAAATAGCACCTAGAGTGTTTCTACATGTTTAGAGGAGATTAATTTTATGCATTTGTATCTAATCAACCTCATCTTTTTTAAATAACTTGCATAATAGTCTGTATATAATTATGGGTGCTGAACTGACACCTGGCATATGTTAAAATGTGAGGCTCAAATAATAAATCCTTGGCTTAATTATTCATTTCTGAACAATAGCTTATTAGACAATTTCGATGTAACAAGTTTCTTTTAAGAGGAAATTGAATTTTCAGTTTTTAATTAGTGCTTTTAAAAAAGAAAGCTAGTGGTAAATTGCTTATGTATTTAATTAGAAAAAGACAGGACTTGAATTAGAAAGTATAGAGATATTAGTCATTATGTGTATTATCTTTGAAGTGTTTTTGGACACTAATTATCTAAAATGAGGACAGAGAAGTTAAATTCTCTTGATATTGGATAGAAGTGAAACTGTACAGCTACATTTTCTGTTTTAGTTACTGTCACAGTTTTAAGTTTAATCTTCCTAATAAAGAACGTGTGTGCCATATTGGGTTCTCTGTAGGCATACACCATTCCCCTTGCCTTTATATAGTGAAAGTGGGCAATGTGTATGGGGAATAGGAATGATGCAGGCTTTTTTTTGTGTTTTTTTTTTTAATATCACTATTCACAATATTTGGAATACTGATATTAGTAGGATGCAATAGGGCTTACCAAGTATGGAGTTGCCTAATGTGTCTTAAAGCGAACCTTTGAGAATGGCATAAAGAAGCAGTCCTGAGTTTTTTTCTGAGTACGGGAGTAGATCAGTTTCCTGACTCTTGGTGAGGTCAGAGGCACACAGCGTGGCCTGGTCCCTGCCAGAGTGAGGTCTGCACCTCCACTTCTCCTTTGGCAGATACTCTTAGGGGGGAAGCTCCACAGGGCTCTGCAGTTCACACTGGTTGGACTTCTGTGAAAATTGTCATGCTCCTTTAACTGTTCTATCCCATTACATGCTTTGTAGACTTAACAAATTCTATAGCTCTTCTGTGTCTTCCTCATTTAATACCTGTCTTTTTAAAAAAACTCTTTTTATTATTATTTTTAGTTTCATGGTATTGTAGATGGAGGGAATGGTGTATGTATGATTTTAAGTCTTTGGAATTTGTTGAGACTTCTCTCATGACAGTAAGTATGTATAACTGGGGGGAAAAGTTCAGTTCTGCCATTGTTGGGTGATGTGCTTTTTTTCTCGAAGTAGGTCAAGCTTGTTAATCTGATCGATACATACAGATATAAGTCTATGTTCATGCTGATTGTTTTTTGTCTCTTTTATCAGAGATAGGTATTTAAATTGTTTTCAGTTTTATTGCAGTATAATTGACATGAAATTGTGAGATATTTAAAGTGTACAAAGTGATGATTTGATACATGCATACATGGTGATATATGCATACATTCCCCTATTGAGTTAACACATCAATCATCTCATATTTTATCCTGTTACCTTTTTTGTATGGTAGGAGTAAAGAACATTTAAATTCTCCTCTTTTAGCAAATTTCAATTATACAATATAGTGTTACCAACTAGAGTCAGATTGTTTTACATTCGACTTTCAGACCTTATTCATGTTATAGGTGAAAATTTGTACCTTTTACCAACCTGTTTTGAAAGATTTTATTGTTGGGTATACATTTATAGATTGACAGTTTCTTCTTTTTCTTTTAGTGCTTTAAAAGTATTGTTCCTCTGTGTTCTGGTTTGCATTGTTTCTGATGAGAAGTCTCCCATCATCCTTATCTTTGTTAGGTAATGTGCTAGATAGTCTCTATATGTCCTTTTACTGTCACTGTTTCTACAAGTTTCTCTTTATTATTGCTTTTTAGCAGTCTGATTATGATGTTCAGTTCAGTCACTCAGCTGTGTCTGACTCTCTGACCCTGTGGACTGTAGCACGCCAGGCTTCCCTGTCCATCATCAACTCCCAGCGCTTACTCAAACTCACGTCCATTGAGTCAGTGATGCCATCCAGCCATCTCACCCTCTGTTGTCCCCTTCTCCTCCTGCCTTCAGTCTTTCCCAGCATGCGGGTCTTTTCCAATGAGTCAGTTCTTCAGATCATATGGCCAAAGTATTGGAGCTTCAGCATCAGTCCTTCCAATGAATATTCAGGACTGATTTCCTTTAGGATTGACTGGTTTGATCTCCTTGCAGTCCAAGGGACTCTCAAATCTTCTCCAACACCACAGTTTATTACTATTATTTTTTCCATTTATTTTTATTAGTTGGAGGCTAATTACTTTACAATATTGTAGTGGTTTTTGCCATACATTGACATGAATCAGCCATGGATTTACATGCAACACCACAGTTTAAAAGCATCATTTCTTCGGCGCTCAGCTTTCTTATTATGATGTACCTTGATGTTATTTTTCTTTCTTCCACTTGAGGTTCATTGAGTTTCTTAGATTGGGCTTCGTTGGTGGCAACAAGGGGTAAAAGCACCCATCTGCCAATGCAGGGAGCCATAAGAGACGCGGGTTTGATCTTTGGGTTGGAAAGATAGGCTGGAGGAGGGCGTGGCAACCCACTCCAGTATTCTAGTTTTTTCTTTTTTTTTGCTAATTGCTGTGTCTTCACTAATCTTCTCTAATCATTGAGTCTGCAGAGTCTGATAGGTTATTCCAATTCAGTGTATTTTTCATATTAAACATTATAATCTCTAGTCTTCTGACTTGGGTCATTTTTTAATCTATTTCTTTCCTTCTTAACATGCTTATGCTTCTTTCTTTTTCAGTATATGGACTGTATTTTTAATGTCCATTTAAATGCTTTTTTCTTATTCTTTCACTGAATTTTCTCTTATGAGTCATATTTTCCTGCTCTGTGTGTGTGAATTTAATCAGATGTCAGATACTGTGATTTTTATGTTGTTGGGCATTTTTTAAAAGTCTTTTAAGTACTTTTGTGCTTTTCTTTTTTTTTAAAGTCTTTTAAGTGCTTTTGTGCTTTTTCTTGGACTCATTTAAGTTACCTGGAAATAGTTTGATCCTTTTTGAGACTTTTAAGCATTATTAGGACAATATAGTACAGCCTTTAGTTGAGGTTAATTTGGTCACACCACTGGTGCAATCTCTTTCTTAGGACTTGCCTTGATGCCCTGTATTTAGGTGGTCTTTAGTTAATTATTTTCAGCCCAGAGTAACTTCTGATGATTGTTCTCCATATTCCTTATGATTTTAAAACCATTGTCAAGTTTTTGTTACACTGTAAGTTATTATGTGTATTTTCTAGATTATTTCAGCCTTTTTATGGAAATATGTGGAAAACTGGGGACTTCCCTACTGGCTCAGTGGTAAAGACTCCACCTGCAGTGCAGGAGGTGTGGGTTCGATCCCTGGGTCAGGAATATCCCCTGGAGAAGAAAATGGCAACCCACTCCAGTATTCTTGCCTGGGAAATCCCATGGACAGATAGGGGAGCCTGGCAAGCTACAGTCCATGGGGTCTCAAAAGAGTCGGACACAGCTTAGCAACTAAACAACAACAATAATATATGGAGAATTATGTTAAACTACGTTTAACGATCAACCAAATGTAATAGTTCTGTAGTAGCCTGAAAAAATGACCACACCTCCAGAAACACCTAGTGCATCCAGGGGCAGGTGATGGTCTTGGTGTCAGGTCTTTATTTATAAAGCCATGGTTATGAAGAAATGACGTGTATATATTTGTCATCCAAAATATTAATAATACCTATTCAATTTTCTCCTGGTTTTCTTCTCTCTCTTTAGGAAGAACGTGTTGTGAATCACATGGCAGCAAAGATCATTGAAAATGTCTGCACTACGTTCTCTGCTCAGGCCCAGGGCTTCATCACTGGGGAAATCGGGCCTGTTTTATGGTACCTATTCAAGCATTCCACGGTTGATTCTCTTAGGATAACAGCAATATCGGTAAGATGGAGTGTCTTTGGGGGATATATTTGCATGTATTTAAATACCAAGTTTGAAGAACTGTGCTAGATATAGAGTGAATTTCATTGGATAGGTAGAAATCTCAGAGTGGCCGTTGGTGAGAACAGTAATTTGATTTTTCTCCTGAGGCGAGAGGTCTGTCGGGACATTCCAAAAGGATCTTGTGTGATCCTGACATTAGGATTCTAAAAATTATTTGGAGGTGATAGTGGAAAACTGCTGTAGTGGATAGGGTATAGCATTTGGTCTGGTGTATTTTTAGTGTTCCTTGACTTTTCTTGTTAGCTCCCTCTTTCAGATTTTATGTTCAGTGGTTTTCATATGGTTCAAATGAATTGATATTAATGTTCAGGCATTTATGATTTTGTAGTTTTTGTATTCTGATTGTTGAGTACTTCACTTCCGTGGTTATAATGACTTGGTGTAAAAGGTCATTCTGTATGAAGATATGTTACTCTGGTTGTATCAATGTAAGGGCCAGTGAAAATGATACAAGCCTTTCTCATGGTTTATTTAAATGCTTCTTTTGATCACCAGTCTTATCTGGGCCCTCAGTGTTATCTGGTACCCTCCCTGTATTTCTCGAGTTGACTCATCCTTGTGCTTCTCGCTGTGCCAAATTTCAGACCTTATCTTTATTCCTTAAGCCTCCAATCCCACATTTTTCCCTCCTTCATTCTCAGTAAGTGACTTCCCCCATACTTCCCAGATAAAAATGGAGACGTCCAATGGAAATTATCACAGTGTATGTCTTCTGCATCTGTGGACCTGTTTGCATCCGTACCTATCTTGCCTCAGTTCTTCCCTTCCTCTTACAACTGATGAACTGCCCCTTCTCCTCTCAGAGAAGCTTCTCCATTATTCTTCTATCTGTTCTTGAGAATCTTCAGTCAAATGGTTATTTTTGCTCTTTGCTAAATTTTTAATCTCTCCTTGTCTACTAAATCTTTCTAATTAGCGTTCATGTATTCTTTACCCTATTAAAAAAAAATCCCACATAAAAACTTATCCAGAGTTTCCTAGGGTGTACCTCCATTTGTTCCCCCATCACCCCAGCCATACTTCTTGAAAGGGTTTTTGCCACAAATGCTCCTTTTTGGCCTGTTTTCAGTTATCTGTCTTAAAAATGTGAATGAACCTAGTCTTGCTGAAATCACTTCAGTTCAGTTCAGTTGCTCAGTCATGTCCGACTCTTTGCGACCCCATGAACCGCAGCATGCCAGGCCTCCCTGTCCATCACCAACTCCTGCAGTCCACCCAAACCCATATCAATTGAGTTGGTGATGCCATCCAACCATCTCATCTTCTGTCATCCCCTTCTCCTGCCCTCAATCTTTCCCAGTGTCAGGGTCTTTTCCAGTGAGTCAGCTCTTTGTATCAGGTGGCCAAAGTATTGGAGTTTCAGCTTCAACATCAGTCCTTCCAATGAACACCCAGGACTGATCTCCTTCAGGATGGACTGGTTGGATCTCCTTGCAGTCCAAGGGACTCTCAAGAGTCTTCTCCAACACCACAGTTAAAAAACATCAATAATTTGGTGCTCAGCTTTCTTTATAGTCCAACTCTCACATCCATACACGACCACTGGAAAAACCACGGCCTTGACTAGACGGACCTTTGTTGGCAAAGTAATGTCTCTTTTTAATATGCTGTCTAGGTTTGTCATAACTTTCTTTCCAAGGAGTAAGTATCTTTTAATTTCATGGCTGCAGTCACCATCTGCAGTGATTTTGGAGCCCAAAAAAATGAAGTCTGACACTGTTTCCACTGTTTCCCCATCTGTTTGCCATGAGTGGTGGGACTGGATGCCATGATCTTAGTTTTCTGAATGTTGAGCTTTAAGCCAACTTTTTCACTCTCCTCCTTCATTTTCATCAAGAGATGCTTTAGTTCCTCTTCACTTTCTGCCATAAGGGTGGTGTCATCTCTGTATCTGAGGTTATTGATATTTCTCCCGGCAATCTTGATTCCAGCTTGTGCTTCTTCCAGCCCAGCATTTCTCATGATGTACTCTGCATATAAGTTAAATAAGCAGGGTGACAATATACACCCTTGATGTACTCCTTTTCCTATTTGGAACCAGTCTGTTGTTCCATATCCAGTTCTTTTTTTTTTTTTTTTTCCATATCCAGTTCTAACTGTTGCTTCCTGACCTTCATAGAGGTTTCTCAAGAGGTAGGTAGGTGGTCTGGTATGCCCATCTCTTGAAGAATTTTCCACAGTTTATTGTGAGCCACACAGTCAAAGGCTTTGGCATAGTCAATAAAGCAGAAATAGATGTTCTTCTGGAACTCTCGCTTTTTTGATGATCCAGCGGATGTTGGCAATTTGATCTCTGGTTCCTCTGCCTTTTCTGAAACCAGCTTGAACATCTGGAGGTTCATGGTTCATGTGTTGCTGAAGCCTGGCTTGGAGAATTTTGAGCATTACTAGCGTGTGAGATGAGCGCATTTGTGCGGTAGTTTGAGCATTCTTTGGCGTTGCCTTCCTCTGGGATTGGAATGAAAATGGACCTTTTCCAGTCCTGTGGCCACTGCTGACTTTTCCAAAGTTGCTGGCATATTGAGTGCAGCACTTTCACAGCGTCATCTTTATTGCTCAATCTGGTGGATATTGATGGATATATATTTTTTATAATTTTATTTATTTAGTTTTGGCTGTTGTACAGGCTTGCGTTCTCTCACTGCAGTGAGCAGGGGCCATTCTCTAGTTGTGGTGCACAGGCTTCTCATTGCAGCAGTTTCTCTTGATGCGCAGCACAGGCTCTCAGGCCTGGGCTTCAGTAGTTGTGGTTCCCGGGCTCTAGATCACGGGCTCAGTAGTTGCAGCACACAGGCTTAGTTGCTCCGTGGCACGTGGGATCGTCCTGGATCCGGGATGGTACCTATCTCCTGCATGGGCAAGAGGACTCTTTACCACTGAGCCATCAGCAAAATCCCTGAGGGATATTTTTGAGTTCTTTTATTTACCATGTTATTTTGAAGATCAAGGGCTAACAGTCCTGCTCGCTGCATGTCCATAAACAAAGGACATCTGTTTCACGAGCTTCACATTGTTAGAATCCTCTCCCCAAGTTGTGATATTAGTAATTACGAAGAAACTGTCAAAGAGTTACAGAGTACACCAGTGAACTTTCACAAGGCATCTTTGAGTCATATCTTACTTACGGCATTCATTTTAATCCTGGACTTTAAAAAGGAAAAAAACCTGTCTTGCTTTAATTGGGTTTATGTTATCATTTTTATCTTTATGCTCAGCATGGTTTCTTTTCTTGGCAAAGTTCTTGCCAGTTTCCACCAAAGTCTCAAACCTTCTAGCACTTTCTTCATCTGACACGGTAAGCTTCACTCTTTCATCTTGGGCTTATATTTTATTGTCAGCATTCATTTAAATTATTAATTTTTCACTGAAATTCTACCAGTTTCCCCCCAAATGTCTCTTTCTTCTTTTGTGCCCCAGGATCATATTCAGTAATGTGTTAATATATTGTTTTCATATTTCTTTAGTCTCCTTCTGTTTGAAACAGTTTCTCAGCCTTTCTGGGAACTTCATGTCATTTATGAGTTTAAAGGGTGTGGGGCTTGTATTTTGTAGGGTAAGGCTCAACCTGGGTCTGTCTAGTGTTTTCCCATTGAACCTCCTTAGCCCCATTGAGGATCCTTACCTATACCAGATGCCTCTGTGATGGTTGCCATATGATGGTTATCTAGTTGTTTCATTCCTTTTATATTAGAAGTTGGCGAATATTTTCTATAAAGGGCCAGATAGTATGTATCTTGGGTTTTGCTGGCCACGTACAGTCTCTGTTCCATATTCTTTTTTTTTTTTTTTAAGGCTTTATGTTATTATTGGAGTATAATTGCTTTATAGTGTTGTGTTAGCTTCTGATGTATGACAAATTGAGCTGTATGAATACATATATCCTCTCCCTCCTGGGTCTCCTTTCTACCCCACCTGATCCCACCTCACTAGGTCCCATATTCTTTTTGTTTTATTTTTCTGTTTGTTTTCTGTAACTCGTTAAAAATGTAAAAACTGTTGCGCATTCTACTTAAGAGCAGTGCAAAAATAGGCCTTTGGTATTGGTTGGAATTCTGTCCTAAGGATGCGCTTTCCCTTCTCTCACATATATGTGTGTGTTTGTATCATCATGATCAGGGATGCCTGTTTTATTTGATGAATTGTAATGTCATATTACTGTTACCACTGTTACTATATATTGTTTGGATGCTCAGATCTTGCTAGAAGCCCTCCAAGCTGGCTTTTGTGTCCTGCTGATCTATTTCTGTCATTGCTTGATCACTTGATTCCTTTCTGAAACCATGAAGTTTCTGAACTACTTTTGGACTTTCACTCTGCCAACCCTGGAACCAATCATTTCTCCAAGGAAGCTTTGATGTTTAGAACCCACAGTCTGGGTGATGTGCTTACTGCTTTGGGGTTTTATTGTTTTCAGGCCTTCTAAGTATTCAGAGAGAGAAAAAAAAAGTGTATGTACATGTATACATGTATACATATGTATACATGTATACATATGGAGCTCCCATGTATACATATGGAGCTTCCCAGGTGGCGCAGTAGTAAAGAATCTGCCTGCCAGTGCGGGAGACACGGGCTCCATCCCTGGGTCAGGAAGATCCCCTGGAGAAGGGAATGGCTATTCATTCCAGTAGTCTAGCCTGGAAAATTCCATGGACAGAGGAGCCTGGTGGACTACAATCCATGGGGTCTCCAAGACTCGGACACAACTGAGCGACTAATCACACACGCATGCAACATATACACACATATATAGAATTATTCTTACATCTATCATTGTAGGTATTTGGAACAAAACTCATGTATTCATACTGATACTTCCAATTTTAATCCAATATATTATAATTCTTTCTAGACCTCCCATTTTCTATATTTGTAAATCCCTTCTTGGACAGAAACCTGGTTCCCATTATTCTCAGTATATTTATTCATCTGTTCAA